TATATATATATATGTGTATGTATGGCACACCCCTGTATCTGTATCTACAATAGATCAACGAGGTTCTGTCTGCTAAACTTGATGGTTTAGCTCACAGAAACCGGTTTCTGGGAGCTAAACCAACAAACAGAAAGTTATTTGTATACTAGGTTTCTGTTTCAGATAAAAGTTTGTCTTGTGTAGGAATATATCATGGGAGGGGACCTGGGTCGGGTTATTGTATAGGAACAAGATTGAAGCTGTTCAGCGACGACTCTACATCAACACACCTCAACTTGTTGTAAGGAACATGTCCAAAACAAAAGGTGAGTCAGAAAACCTTTAAACTTCTGATCCACTTAGCTTAGGTTTTTAAATATCATGATTGTCATGTTTTTGTAGTTGAGGATTTAAATGCAGCAGGCAGGAGACGTAGGATTGAGTTGAAAATGTAATGAAAACAATGAAGGTAAAACTTACAAAAATGCAGGAACCCAGAAGGAAACAAAAGATAATCCAAAACACAGTCAGACAGGAGAAACGAAGCAGGTAAAGAGAAATACGGGAAAGTGACAGGAGTTGACAAGACGAGCTGGCAAGGAGAGACTGAGAGTAAACTGCTTAAAGACGGGGCGAGATTGAATGTGGAACAAAAAGGCTGATGAGCGAGGAGAGGCAAGTGGAGAGAGAAGGAGGCAAAGTAAGAAGACGGAGAGAGAAAGATGGCAAACTAGGGAACAGAAAATAAAATCCTACAGAATAATTTGATTAAAGAAACATAATAAAACTAGAGTGACGAAGAATAACTACCTGGAATAAACAGAATCAGAATTCCTTTTAATGTCATTGTGCACGAAGAAAGTACAACGAAATGTAAAAAAATAGCAACTCTCAAAGGCAGGTAAAATAACTGAATAGAATAAATAAGTGTATAAATAAATTTAAAAACATAAGACACAGAATAAATAGATAAATAAACTGGCAACAATAAGAACTAAAGTAAAGAAGAACAGGAACAAGACTGATCGAAATAAAAAAAGGAAACAAAGTAACAATGAAACTAAAATGACTAATAAAGGACTGATGTAAAGTGAAACCAAAACATAATTGATCTAATTAAAAAAGGAACAAAAAACCCACAGAAATAAACAAACCCAACCAAATATCCAGAGAAACTAACAATGAGAAAGTTTAGATCATTTTTGTATTGTTTTTTTTTACTAAATAAATATAAAACAGTTTGAATATATGATCTTGTTGTGATGATATGAAGAGCACACGGTTTGTCTTCCAACTAAAGTCATGGCAAAGTTTTAAATATGATTACAAACAATGTATTCATTAAGGAAAATGATTAAATAAAGGTCAAGCTAATTTGATCATCATTTATTTTTTTTCCAATCTGTTCGTCCCTTTTAGGTTCGCGGGTGGACATGGGACCGGCTAAGAAGAAAAAGGCTGATCAGAAACCAGGTGAAACCAAATTTATTTGATTTATTAGAATTATTATAGAACATAACTATAAAAAATATTCATGCAGATTTTATTTGTAGCTAATGCAGCCTGGTATTTTTTCTGTTGCCTCTGATCAGATTTACTTCAAAGTGACTTTCTGCTGCGGTTTGGGTCTGATATTGAAACGTGCATGCAACATCTACCATTTAAAATGTCTTAAAAGCTGCATTTGGCGCCACCTATCCTGACATGTAGAGAGTGAAAGCAGGAGAACTGACAAGTGTAACCGGATCCTTTCTGCGTTGTGCTGGTTCTGTTGACTGATCAGGCCATGACACGGTTTGTCTTTAAAAGGATGATTCTCGGTTTATTCTGACAAGAACAACATATAGAAAACAACTGTGTTATTGGCCGCCCACTCCAAGTCTGACACTGTACTGAAAACAAATGCAAAGCATTACAGAGGTTTCACTAAGCTAAACAAAAGCAACAAGAAAAATGAAAACGCCAACGAGATAAAAGGACACAAAGTGATAAGATGTCAACAGAAAGTGGGATGTAACTACTGCAAAAGGAACACACACAAGAAAAGGGAATCAAGCTGGAGTTAGACACATAACAAGGAGGCCAAAATCATTTCTTCAAAGTTAAACCTCCTTTATTTATATATATATATGTGTGTGTACACATTGTACAGTATATGTATAAATATATAAATATGTCATATGTGTCGACATTTCTTCAACAAATGTAATTCCAACACTACATATGATTTTACAAAACATACTTTTCTTTCAAATAAACATTTAATTTTCAGTTTCAAACATTATTTGTGATTTTTTTTTTTCTTCCAGTTGAAGATCCAGAAGACGTTTCCATTTTGCTCATTGGCAAAACTGGAACTGGCAAGAGCTCTGCGGGGAACATCATTGTGAACGCTACTCGTTTTGAAGTTGGGAAGAATACACTGGTGTGTGAGAAGAAAATACATCCCCTGCCTGATGGCCGTAGGCTGGCAGTGATTGATACTCCAGGTCTGTTTCACACCAAACTGACAGCGGAGGAGATGAAGACACAGCTGACTAGGTGTGTCTCATTGTGTGCTCCTGGTCCTCATGTGTTCCTGATTGTGATCGAGCCAAAACGTTTCTCAAGAGAAGACAAAGGGATGGTGAAAATGATCAAGAGGATGTTTGGAGATGGAGCAGCTAAATATACCATGGCCTTGTTCACTCATGGAGATGAAATGGAGAGAGATGGAGTCTCAGTAGAAAGAGCAATGTATTTCAACCCATCTTTTAATGATTTTCTCAGCAAATGTAAAGGAGGATTTCATGTTTTTAATAAAAACAATGAGAACAGGAATCAAGTTATTGAGCTGGTGGGGAAGATTGATAATATGGTTCAGAGAAATGGAGGCAGCCGCTACACAAATGATATGTTCAGAGAAGCCCAAAGAGCCATTAGTCGGGAGATTTCTCAGGCTGGAGTAACTAGAGAGACAGCAGAGAGAAACAACTCGTTTATTCGAGCTGTTGACCGAGCTGCTGCAGTTTCAGCTGTTGCTGAAGCTGCCGCTGAAGCGGCAGCCGAGGCCGCTGCTGCAGCCACTGCTGAAGCTATAGCTGCAGCAGCGGCTGAAGCTATTGTTGAAGCTGCTGTTGGAGTGGCAGATGTTGTGAGTACAGTCACAGCAGTGAGAGAGGACGGATGCATAACTCAGTGATAATCATCACTGAGTTATGCTCATCACTTATCAGAAACAGTTGCAAATATACTGCAATGATAGTGAACAAGTCGTTAGTTGTTAGTAAATTGTAATTATTAATCACATAACTGATTAAACACTTTTAATATAACCTTTAACATTAAAATACAACACATGATTTGTTATTTAAAGACAATGATTAGCATTGTCTTGGTTTGTGATCTGTATATTTAATCTAAGAGAATAAATTTGTTTTATTGTTCATTTATTTATTTTAGTTTGTTGTCAACAGTAAATTCAAAAAATGTTTTTTATTAACTAATATCTACAAAGTGGCATGTTCTTTACCTTGTCTTCATAATAAATATTTAAGCACTTTATTCAATTCTGTTTGGTAATTTTTTTAAACCAGTTTTTAAAGAAGTACAAATATAAAAGAAAAAGTTTCACACTAGAATAGATTAAAATAGAATATAGACGTTGGTATTTTCCTGATCTCTGTTTTCCCTTTACTTCAATGTTTTTTTTCATCACCCAGCCAGTTTCCTTCGGTTCTTTATAACTCCCTGCAAAAATAAAAAAAGTCTGTTTATTTGGGTGTGAACCTCATCAGTTCATTCGTTTTCGATTACGGCATTTATTTATACAACAGTCAAAAAAGTTCCCTGAAGTTTCCTTCTTCCTTATATGGTCTGCTTCCAGATAGCTGAAGTCTCGCACAACTTGCTTGTATCGCGGTAGTTTGGATTAGCCGTTCAGCTAGCAGTGAGCTAATTAAGAAGAACCGGAGCGGACATAGGAGAACTCAGAGAACCAGCCAGAGAAGTGAGCTGCTCCGCGGCCGCCTGTTGTCCCACAGCCCGCGACCAGTGCGCTCACCCCGACATGAATTCAAATACAGCCGGTCGATCAACGCCAGAAGACGGAGAACTAGAGGACGGAGAGATCTGTGATGATGAAACCGAAGAGAGAGCTCCTCCGCGACGGGGGGAAGGGCGCAGGCCCCGCGGCGGCGCCAGGCCGCGGCCGAGAAAACCGCACCAGTCACCGCACAATTTGCGGCCTCTACTGGGACCACCACCGCAGGATTTTAGGCACATGATGCCCTACAACCCCGGACCTCACCTTCACGGCCCATTCCCCCCGAACCTCAGACAGCCAGACCGTCCTCCAGTCCCTCCGCCTCCTGGGATGCCGCTTCCGCCGCCACCCGGCCTCGGTCTGCACGGAGAGCCCAACAACCGGTCCAACTTCTGGGAGCGGAGCCATGGAGCTCTGGGACGGTTTCGGCACCGGGGCTTGCCGAACGGAGGACGGGGGTCCTGGAACCGAGGTCGAGGTCTCGGGGGGAACAACAGAGGAGGACCTGGAAGACCCGGACCAGTGGACATCCACGGATCTCCCTCCAGAAAGCGTATCCTTCACGGATCTGACAGGTTTAGAACTGGACCGGACCAGGTTCCGAACACTTCAGGCTATTCACTGAGCTACCGGGAAACACAGAACCAGTTCAGAACCGCACTGCGAAAACATAACATCTTACCAAGTACTTTTGTCTAGTTTCTGGAGCCACTAGCTTAGTACACTTGAAACAAAACAAAACTAACAAGTAACGTTTCTCAAGATGTAGCAGTTTTAAGACGGTAATTGTTCAGTATGAATGAAAAAGTATTAGTTCCACTGCCAGATTATTTTTACTTATGGGAAAAATTATCACTCCCCAAAAAATTTATTCTCATTTTCACATCCTGTAAATTAGAGGACGAATTTCAACACGTTTGTAGCAAATATTCGCTGCTAATTCAGTAGATTCTTACAGATTTTATATTTATTTAATAGTCAAATCTGTTACCAACAGACTGGCTATCAGTGATCAGCAGCTTCTCCAGGTTGAATTTCAAATAAAAAACTACCTCAGATTTTGCTGCAGCTGTTTTGATCATATTAAGAGACATGGACTTTATCATTCAACTGTACATTTAAAATGTACAAATTGAGCGAAATTTCGTTGCAAGGCTCCAATAATGATAAATAAATTGTAATGAATAAAAAGTATCACCATAAATATATATAATAAAAGTGTTAATGGCAGTTTAGCAGTTTTATGGCATTAGGGATGCAGATGACGTGGAATTTCATTGTTCTGCATTTGAAGCTGCTGAATCATGTGTTTTAGAGAAACATAAGTTCAGATTAATCATTACTCAGTCAAATGTCAATTATTAGTCAATTATTTCATCAAACATTGAGTTTCTGGACTACCTTCCCTAATTCTCCATCAGTTTTGTAGGCAGGAAGTTCAGACTGCAGCTACACTAATGTCTCCAAAACTGCTAATTTTATGAAAAACTAAACTTTTCCCTTATTTCTTCCTCCCTGACCCATAAAGTGTTAAGTTTTCCTTATCAAGAACCTCAGAGAAGCAACCACCAAGAGTCCGGGTCAGGAAAGTGGGTCCTAACGCCTCCAGACAGGATCCCAGTATGAACGAGAGCTTTGAGGATCTGCTGTCCAAGTACAAGCAGATCCAGCTGGAGCTGGACTGCATCCGCAAAGCCGAGACCATGGCGCTGGCGCTGGAGCCGGCAGCCTCTCCCGCTGTGGAGGAGGTCCCCGCCGCTGCTTCTCCTGCTGCAGAGGTCCAACTGGAGGCAGAACCAACACCAGAACTGCCTCTAGTCGGAGCAGAGCAGCTGGAGAAGGATGAGAAGAAAGCTTTCCAGGCGTTCAACATCAAACCGCTGCGGCATAAACTTCTGACGCCGGCGGAACTGGATGAGCTGCGTAAGAAGCTGGAAGGCCAGGAGGCAGGAGGTGAGTTTTTATCTCCACTGGTTTTCCACTGGACTGTGGTGACATAAAGGTTTGTCCCAGTAACTAAATTTTCTGGATGATAAATCGTCCCAGAAGTTATAGCAATAAACAATAATATTGTTGTTTTGAAACCATTTTCAAGTAATAAAATGGTAATCATTCTCAAACTTTAAATTCTAAAGAACATTTAATTCTGGAACTGGAATATATTTGAAATATCCAAAATAAATAAACAAAACAACAAATAAAATCCATTATGAAGCATCTAAACAAAATTGTCCTCCAGAAAAGGGCAAGTTGAGAGTAAAACATCAGACTGAAGACTTTTGTCATCCAGTTTTTGGTAGAAAGAGAGAAAAGAGAAAAACCTTAAATCATGCAGAAGGAAATTATCTAATTTGTTTTAATTTGTGATGCGATTAATTGATTTATTGCTTATTGCGGCAGGCCTAGTGACGTATCCACACTGATACGTGAGGCGTTGTCTGTAAGCAGTACTCAACCGAGCAGAACCTCAGCTTTCCTCTCAGGGTTTCACTCCACTGCTGCTTTGTGTCACCAGGTGCAGAAGCAGGAAGCTCTGACGCTGCAGAACCTGAAGAAAATGTGGCTGCAGCTGCGGAGGAGAAGCAGAGCGCGTCCTGTGGCGAGGAAACCATTCCAGAGGAGAAGCAGAACGCTCAGGATGTCGTCTTGTGCCGCAGCGAATCGTCGGCGTCCAGCGAGGAGTCGACTCTGTCATCTGACAAGGTGAGCTGAACGCAGAACATGGACTGTTTCCACACCTGGTAGTCGTTCCACACCGTTGATTTTTATTAAGCAGTGGCGAAACCTTAAACTGCTGTTGTGCAAGTTACTCAACTAGCTGTTGCTAGGTGACCAAAGAGTGAGAGAGTTGATGCCACCAACCTGAGAGGTTGAGCAGCTAAGGGTGTTTTCACACCTGGTAGTCTGGTAGATTCGGTTACATTTTCAGCTGCTGCAGTTTGTTTCAAAATGTTTGCTTGTTTCAAACTCACTTGTGGTGGGTCTGGGCCAAGAACCACTGAAGGAAACAACATAAAAACCTCAGAAGACACTGAGCGCAACTCCCTTCTTCTTAAAATGGAGGATCGTCAGATTTTAGCGGCTGTAGGATTTTTTTTTTTGTCTTTGGTAAAAGACTAAGAACCATTTCTCCCGTTAGTGCTAGACTCTTACTTTTGTTTTGGTTCCATTTACCCAGAATGCCTTGCACTGTAGTCCACTTCCTGCTTTTGGAACGATCTCTGGTCTGCTTGGATCCACATATTCATTCAAACCACAGTTCAGTTAAACCGAACATAGATCAAGGTTTTTAGGTGGAACTCCGTCTGTTTAGTCCAGATCATAGTTGGATTACCCATCCACACCTCACCAAACGAACTGGACTTTCTAGACAAACAGACCTAGAATTGGATTAAAACGGACTAATCGTGGATGGTGTGAATGCACCCTACAGTCTTTCCTCTGCCTACATCTCCCAGAATGCTGTGCGGTTCTGGATTAGAGTTCAGGGAAATTATTGAATATTCTATCAGACGTATTATCTATTAATATCGGTCTATCACGATATATATTGTTATCGATTTATTGTCCAACCCTCGCCTGAGTCCTGCTTCTGATTTACAACAGAGCATTAAATCGTGTCAGTTTCCATGGTGACGCTGCAGCTGTGATTCTGTTGGATGTTTTCCAGTTTTAGTGTGACCTGGGTCATGTGACCATCATGTGTGTCTGTGTCTCCTCAGCCGGTGGAGAAGCTGGAGGAGGAGGAGCTATCGGAGCTGCAGCTCCGCCTCCTGGCGCTGCAGTCAGCCAGTAAGAAGTGGCAGCAGCAGGAGCAGCAGGTGATGAGGAAGAGCAAAGATCGGATCGTTAAAGCCTCTCAGGAGAAGAACTCCGGTCCCGGTTCTGGAGCCGCTACGCCGGAGAGGCAGCGAGTCACCACCAGATCCGCCTCCTCTGCTTTTGCCGCCGCCGCCGCTGCAGAGCAGAACAGGAGCAGGTCCAAACTGTCAGAGAGAGACAGAACTAAGAGCGGGCCCAGATTGGCCGACAGGGACCGGATCAGACAGAGTCCGAAGCCGGGACTCAGAGTCCCGATGGAGAGGAGCCGAACGCCAGGAAAAGCTCACGGAGCGAAGAGGCTGATCAGCCCAGGTGAGATGAAGGAAATGCAAGCTGTCAAACAAGATGGCCGCCCTGGGTGACATCACTCTGAATTATGAAAACCCAACGAGCTCATTGGAGAAAAGAATCCAGTTCTTCCAAAAACTAGTCTTCAAAAAACAAAAGTTTTATGAATGAATCGCCTGGCCCTGTAATGACCCTCCTGACCTCTGACCCTCCTGACCTCATCATGTCTGCCTCTCTCTCTCTCGCCAGGCTCCTCGGCCAAGCAGGCGGTCAGGAAGCAGCAGCTCCGCACCTGGAAGCTGCAGCAGCAGCGGAAAGAGGAGGAAACTCGGCGGCAGGAGGAAGAGGAGCGCCGGAAACGTGAGGAGGAAATCCGCCGGATCCGGGACCTGTCCAACCAGGACGAGCAGTACAACCGCTTCATGAAGCTGGTGGGAGGCAAGCGGACGCGCAGCAGGGTGAGAACCTCAGAGCCGCGCAGTGGGCTGAGCTCAGCTGAATGTGATGTCATCGTCTGGTCACCAATCAGCTGCCTGTGTTCAGTCCAGAGACCAGGACCACAGGAAGTCTGCCGGGAAACCGGGCCTGGACTCCTCAGGGAACCTCTACCAGTACGACAACTACGACGAGGTCGCCATGGATACGGACAGTGAGACCAGCTCACC